TTGACCTGCATATTGATAGCATCGTCGTGCTTTGATTTCAGTTGTAGGCTTTGGTGACCTGCTGGGCTTTGTAAGCTCATTATATGTGGTTTAAATTTTCAGGTCCGAGCAAGGCAACTGGAATGGAGTTCGATCAGAATGTCAGACGAATCCTTTCACTATTGATTCTGGGGCATCACAATAGATATTATAGTGTTTTAATTATAATAAAATTTTCATAAATAAGAATTTATTATTATGAATATAATATTCATAATAATAATAATAATAAAAAGAATTTATTATTATGAAATAGAATTTATTTCCATAAATTTTTCGTAAATAAGAATAATTAAATTTGTAACTCATCTTCATCCAATGTTTAAAAGTGTGTAAATAAGCCTCGAGGTGTTTTTCGTCCGTAAGGTAAGGCGTAAGCCTCGAGGCTGTGTGAGGCGTAAGCCTCACGGACTAAGAATTACGTAAATGAGAATTTAAAGGTTTTAGCATATAAATAATAGTAAGAGTCTATCATACAATAAAAACGTGTAAATGATAAGTGAAATTAGTGGAAAATAATAAAATAGATGTAATATATGCATCACATAGCATAATTCAAAGTACAGATCCACAAAATATTAATTAGTCTATCAAAACTCCCAAAATACAAATAAGAAAGAACATATAAAAACCAATCATGTTTCATCACTAAATGGGTCTTCAAGGGAATCTTTTTCTCCAATTGTATCTATGAATATCATATTTTCATCATCTTTAATGCTACTGAATTTTCTCTTCCTTGGTCAATAAGAATGATTATTGTCATGTTAATTGTCCAAGTGATATATAAATAATATAATAACACATAAGATGTTGTGAAAAACCTTTATTTGCTTGTTGTATTGTAGAACATGTACACTATATTTTCAAGAAGGGTCCCTCCGCAATGACGTATTAGACTTTTTCTTGTCTTTAACCATATTTCCTAAAGCACAAATGCTAAATAAAACAAAAAAAAAAAAAATTTCCTATAAGTTGAAAAATCAAACCCTAAACTTAAAAAAAAAAAAAAAAAACCTAAGAACGCTTAAATAAGTGATGTAGAGGGGTGACCGGAAACAAAAGACTCACCGGCGAGAGGCAGCGGAAATGTGATGTATCTTATGGTTTTTCTACTTTTAGGGTTTTTCATATAAAAAAAATATGATGTCTCTTATGATTCTTACACTTTTCTCTAATTATGTGTGTAGTAGATATTCATATAAATTTAAGATGTTAAACTCTCTTTCTCTCTACTATCATGAATATTCTAACGTACAACAACTATAAAATGTAAATAATATTATATTTCCAAATTTTAAAACAACTAATCGTCGAATCTCTGGTGGATCTAATCCTACGATGGAGCCACATGTGTTTTGACGACAACCATTAATGTTTTCTACCAAGTGATGTGTGGATGAAGGGAAGGAGATCTCAGATGAAGAGAGACTAACTCGACAAAATATTGAAGATCTTTCTGGAAGCAAATAATTTTGAGGACAAGCCAATAATATTTTAAGCTGATCAGTGGCATCAGTGTTCTTATTTTATATTTAAAAAAAGTTCCAACGTGATATAATATATGCACTGCTTTCACGTGGATCCGCCCTTGCCCACGTGAAAGCAACCTTGGTTCATTGGATGATTACAAGCTGTTATGGAATGTGTTTTGATGTGGTGCTTCTCTTCTGGTCTAGCCCAATGAATTGATAAAGGGAAGGAGGGATCATCAACCATCCATCTTCTTTGAAGATGATGTGCCCTTACATGATGATGCATTCATGTTGTGGATGTCTACTTTTTTATTGAACAACTCTACATCAATGTTTAACATGATGCGCACTTACATACATGATGATGCATCCATGCACTGGCGGAGCCAGTATGGGGGCACTAGGGTCACGTGCCTGGCATGAAAAATAAGAAAATATTTTATAGGTTCAGTTAGGTAATTAGTTAATAGAATATAAATTTAATTCATTACAATTTGATTTTAAAATTTTTATGAATTCAAGTTATCATTGAGATTTTGGATAAATTTCAAATGATATTTTTAAGCAGAATTTTCACCAAATCAAATGATCATTCCATTCATTATTGAACAAATTTCTAATTATATTTTCTAACAAAAATTATCTAGCTCAAACCCCACAGCAGTGGATTTGGGAAGAAAAATATCATGAATAAAATCAATTTTATGTTATTAAATAAAAAAAAAAAACTAGGTTATGTGAGCTAATGAAACATTATACTATCAATCTTTCATTCAAGTATTTTTATTGTACATTTTTAAGGAGAAATATATATATATATATATATGAAAGTTCATTTTAGATAAAACGATCTCCAATGAGAGATAACTCATTAATATTTGTGAAATACTTATTAGACTCGTAAGTCATGAAAAACTTTAGTGCCAATTATTTTTTAGTTAATTTATTATTAAATCCTACAAAAGTATATGAAAAGTTTAGAGTAAAACTTTCATATATGACATAAATTTATAAGTAATAAATTATATTTTTGAAAGTCTAAAAATTATTTTATTATTAATTATTAAATAAAACGATAGAAAAAATCATCTATAAAAAACTAGGAATATATTAAAAATTATAAAATTTTGCCCCCACTAATAAAAATTTCTGGCTCCGCCCCTTCATCCATGCATGTTGTGGATGTACCCTTTTATTATTGAACAACTCCACATCATGAATGTTTAACACGATGTGCCCTTACATAAAAAAAAATATATGATTTTTAGATAATTTGTTCATCTTCATCTATTTTTTAGTCTTTATTATAAGGGTTTTTAGGCAATTGCCCCTCCTAAAAATTTCAAAATACTATGATTTTTAGGTAATTGCCCCCAATAGGTCGAACCCGGCCAAAAGGTACTGCTCCCTTAGACTCTCAACACATATGCCTTATAAGTTTGCTCCCCCCCCTGAAATTAGGGCTGGTTCCGCCCCTGCCTTACATACATGATGATCCATCGATGTTGTGGATGTCCATTTTTTTTATTGAACAACTCCACATAAATGTTTAAACACCCAAAATTTCCCTGCTTTTGCTTTTAGCACACCTATGAGAGAATTAGTGATACTTGTTTTCTTCACAATGCTGTGGTCCCGTTGCTTTATTCTTTTTTTATTGCTTTGATTCTTTCTTCTGTAGGACTGGTGAAAAGGAAATGATCTCATAGCATGTTTAAGCTTACTGAGTACAAAAAAAAAAAATGAACATGTCAGCTTCATTTATGAAAGTACAATTATTTTATTTGTAAGAACTTACGTTGCGTTCTTATTATTTTTACATGTGTTATTAGTAATTTATTTCTTCATATAAATAGGTATGAAGGCCTCCATTTTTTATCAAGTGCATACTTCATTAGTTGTTTTAAAGCATATTAATATGGCTGTGCAGCTTACCCCTTTTTTGTTTCCTTTTAGCAAGAAGCCTCCACTCTTGAGCTCCTCTTCCTCACCATCGCTTCCTATTCTTCAGCGAATAATGATAAATTTTCATCCCATACGCGACCTCTCGACTGCTACTGCAACATCTTCTTCTGCTAGAAGAATAAATTTTCATCACATACACTGCCTTTCAACTGCTAGCACAACTTCTTCTTCTCCAGCTGTTCGTAGAACAGCAAATTATAAGCCAACTATTTGGGATGATAGCTACATACAATCACTGCAAATTGATTTCATGGTGATGGCTTAGTTATCTTCAAAATTGCTTTGAGTAGTTATGAAGAACTTTTTCTATTTTATCAACACTTGAGTTGTGTTTGAGAAATTTTTTTTACTACTTTCTAAAGAAAATTTGTAGAACAAAAATTTCTTGAAAGCAGCAAAATAACCATATATCGTCAAGAACTATCCCAAATAAAACCTTAGATAGAGATATTTCTATTAGTATTAATAGTGTTTATAAAATGCTATGCATAAACAAATTTTTACTCTATTTAAGATTTTGTTTAATCAAAATATACCGTTATAATCATTTTTTTTCTTCTTTGGTTAATCTTTGTTATTCAAACATAAATTATTTTACATAAATAAGAAGGCTTTGATCGAGATATAAGATCTTTGACTGAAGACAATAAGTGTGGATCTGCTCTTTTTATTTTAATAATTAGTACTTGGATCATGCTAGCAGTTGTAGAACAATATTAATAGTTTTGTTTTGTTTTTTATTATAGAAATGAAAGTAAAATAATTTACTTTTTTACTCTAAAATATATTTTCTTTCAATCATTTTTTCAAACATTTAGGATTGATAATTTTTCTTGTAACTTCAACATCTTTTCTTCTAATTTTAGGCAAAAAGCCAATTTGCTTTGCCTAAAAAAATGGCTCAATTGACTTATTATCACCATTATAAGCATCTAAACACAAACTTTACTATATAATGTATGTTCTTAAGTTATAATGGCATACAATTGAACTTATATCTTTAATGTTAAAGTAATAATAACAATTATTTTTGAAAATGTATATTTAATCCTATAGGTATAGTATTACTTATTTGTTGAATGAGTATAATATAACATAAGTTGTTGAATAATCACTACATTATGCAGGAGGAAAAGTATATGTACCGAAGGGAGAAATTGATGGAGGAAGTAAGATTTTTGATCAACCAGCAACATAGTCTTACTGAACAACTTGAACTTGTGGATACCTTGTGTCAACTAGGACTTGGTTATCATTTTGATGCAGAGCTCAAGAATTTGTTGAGTTCTATTAGTTCGTCGAAGAAAAATATCAACAATTTGATAGAGAATAACAACCTTCATGATTTTGCTTTGCTCTTTAGACTTGTTAGAGAACATGATATCCATAATGCTTCAATACTAAGGTATGCACTAACAAATTTATGCATGCCATATTAATTTTTCATTTAAAGTTTATTAATTCAATGCAAATGTAACCTAAGAGTTTGGTTTAAGTGATAGTTTTTTTGCTCTTTGGATATAATAAAAGTCACACGTTCACATTTTTTCTATCATTTTCTTGCTCAAGTAAAGAAATATTTGTGAAAAGTTTTTGTTCAAAATAATGATAAGAATAATAATGTTAATCTAATTAATAGATTACCTATATATAACACTTTTATTAAGATTATTATAAAAAATACAAGATTTTGAGTAAGTTTTAATTTTATCTTATTTAGATGCTATGATGATAATAATAATTCATATTTTGTTGTAATTTTTTTTTACCTATCAATTAGCTATCCTAATGTCTATTTAGAAATTTGGCTTACATCTAGATGTTTTCTCAATATATGACATAAATACTAATAAATAAAACTCTCCTTACTTAAATTTCAAATGTTATATCAATTCTATGTCATATAAGTAACAAGTATGCCTAAAATGTTCTTTAAATTGGCAGACTTGATGATTTGATAAGCTGCTTTAAAAATGAGGAAGAAAGTTTCAATCAAAACAACCAATTAGATGTCAAAGGAATGCTTAATTTATATGAGGCTTCCTTCCTTGCCATGGAAGGAGAGGATGAATTGGATGAGGCGGGAAAATTTGCAATGAAGCATTTAAAATACCATGATAGATCCTTACTAAGTCCACAACTTGTTGAACAAATAGAACATGCCTTGGAGCTACCCTTGCATTGGAGAATGTCAAGGTTACATACTAGATGGTTCATTGATGCATATGGGAGACACAAAAACTTTAATCCCACATTGCTTGAGTTTGCTAAACTTGATTTCAATATGGTGCAGAGTATCTACAAGACAGAGCTTCAGGAATTGTCCAGGTAGTTTGTGTTTCTCATTTATGTATATGTGTGCAATCTTCTTACAATTATTTTGAGAAATATTGATGCCTTTCCATTTGATCCTTAGGTGGTGGAGAAATATCAATGTTGTTCGTGGTGGGCTTAATTTTGTAAGAGATAGATTGGTGGAGAACTATTTATGGGCCATAGGCTTTACATTTCAGCCTGAACTCTGGAGAATCAGAAAAGCAATGACACAAATTATTAGTTTCATAACAACAATTGATGATATTTATGATATCTATGGTACCTTGGATGAATTAAAGCTATTTACAAATGCTATTGAAGCGTAAGGAACTGCAATAAATCATTTGATATGCATAAAGTAGTTTTAATTAGTTATTATTATAAAAAATTGATAAATAATAGTAACAAAACGACCAATAAATGCAATCAAATATATTTACTCAATTAGACCTCAGCTAACATACTGTAAAATAAAATTGGAACTCTCAGATGGAATATAGCTACAACGCAACAACTTCCAGGTTACATGAAGAAATGTTTGACAACACTTTTTAATACAATGGATGATATTGCCTCCTCATTTTCAAAGGAAAAAGAGTTGGACATTCTTCCATGCCTAAAACGAATGGTAATATAACAATTATTTCAATCAGGATGTCTTTTAAGTTTTTAAAAATGTATTTAAACTTTTTCTTCATATTCCAATTTTTAGACATAAAATTGTGTTATATAAGCTACAAACTTTTAACAAAAGATTTTCAATTGCTAAAATGATCTATTCAGAATAAGTTTTCTAACCAAAATAAGTTCTGATTGTGTTATAGTGGGCCGATTTATGCAAAGCATATTTCATTGAAGCAATGTGGTATCATAATGGATATACTCCTACATTGGACGAGTACTTGGACAATGCTTGGGTTACCATATCAGGAATTTGTGTACTAACTGCAACATATTGCCTAAGTGATGATTTGACTTTTGAAGCTATTAAAAGCTTGGAGTTCTATCCACCTATTGTTCGTTATTCATGCATGCTTTTACGACTTTATGATGATTTGGGAACATGCACGGTAAGTGCGTGTGAGCATTTATTTCTTATTAAATGTATAGTATTAATGTTTTCTTTTCTTTTTTTTTGGTATGTTACTCATTTTTATTACAGGAAGAGATCCAAAGAGGAGATGTTCCAAAATCAATTCAATGTTATATGAAAGAGAAAAATGTTTCAGAAACAACTGCTCGAGATTATATTAGATGTTTGATAAGAAACTATTGGAAGAAATTGAATAAAGAACATGTAATATCTTCAAAATATGTGGAGTCTTTTAGAAAAGTTTTATTTGATATACCAAGAACAGCACAATGTTTCTACCAATATGGAGATGGATATGGAGAGCCAGATCTTGAAACTAGGGAGCAAATCATTTGTATAATAATTAAGCCAATTTCACTTTAAAGGTGATGGCACTTTGAAAAATAGATATTCCTTTCTATAAATGTATGTTATGTGCAATTTAGGATATTGCTAAATGTGTAATATTATTAAGTAATGCTTCCTTTTTCCCTTAGTGTTAGTAAGTTTTGTTAATTTTGAGTGTTGTGTGTTGTAGATCTGTATATGAATGTTGTTTAAAATGTATACTATTTATTTTCTATGTAGTGCACATTTAATAAATAAATAGATTCAAATGGCTAATCTTGGTAAGAAAATATATTCTTGAGACACAGCTCACCTTGGCCTGTTGGTTGTGAACTTAGGCTTCCAACTAAAAGGTCTTGGTTCAAGTCTTTGTATATGCGTTGTGTGTATGAGTTTGTCTTAAAAGGCATAAATGTCCCAAAAAAAAATACATTCTTGAGTTATATTTAAAGCACAAAAATAGAAGGGTAGATGACTGTCACCTCAAATAAAATTTAAGCACAAATACGCATTTTATGGTAAATAATGACCTCATTCCATATCACTAAGGTTCTGGATTAATGAAGTTTCTCATGAGTTTGACGTTAACTTTATGTGTTTGTGGTTGAAGAAGCTCCAACCTTCGCAAATAAGTTAAATTCATATATATTTTTGGAGAATTAAAGAGGTTTTTACAATTTTCATATGGCCTTTGGGGTTAGAAATTTGAGATGTGGAGATGAATTTCTTACCAATCATGATTCTTTAACCTATATAATAGGTTATCTATCAGCTAAAGTCATATGCTTCAAATCTATAAGTGTGTCACATCTCACCTTTAAGTTTATAAAAGGAGATGATAATTTTGGTAGAGAATCACTTTTTCTCAAACTTCCCCTCCACTCAATAATGTTACTGGGCTGGAGAGGCTGGAGATATGGCTAGTGAAGTGATCAGGGGTGTTTTGGTATAACGTCCATAAAAAAATGTCTGATACTTTTTTATGGAGTGAGAAGTCAAAAAGTTTGAGCTCATCTTCTATAGATAATGGTGAGGTGTGAGCAAATTCCAAAAATGAAGAAATATTCGCCCTTTAAGTTTTTAGAGGACAACCATCATAAGAAAGCACTATGAGGAGAGACTTTATGGTGCCCGACCATGTAATATGTTCCTTCTTTTCTTTATTATATTGAGGTTTGGGAGAGACCCTCAAGGCTCTCGTGTGCAAAGCACCAACCTTGGGAAACCCTAAACAAGTCAACTCTTGATGCTACTAACAGTAATTTGTTGTTCGTCCTAGAGGTTGTCACAACTCATATGATAGTGACAAAATAAGGTTTCATCCATCAATTAGACAAAATATTTTAGATTCAAAAATTATGAATTTTATATATTCAAAGAAAATTATGATAATTTTTGTAATGCCCTAAAATTATTTTGAAATTGATGACCACTCAGAGTAGTTAGAGATTTTTTACTGGTGTTGGGCTTGGGGACTTGTTAGTTTCTTCATAAAAACTATTATGTGCCTAACTATGTAATACCTCCCTATTTACAATTCCCAAGTACGTATATTAGGTTAGCACAACTAAATTTTTTTCCTCTCATGGAGTTTTAGAGCCCGCTGCATTTGCACAAGAAGCTCATTATATAATGGCCCGGCCTAGATAAGTTTACTAGGCTTGCTTATCAGTCCATTATTGGGCCAATTGACATTTATATTGGTGCAATTTTCGATTTTGTCAGTTCTTCACGTACTTCCAAAAAGAAAACTATTCAAGCTCTAAATCGTAGAATTTAGCCTGATCTCAAACTCATCTAACTATTCAAGCTCAAACTTAAATTCAAATCATGAGTGACTGGTGCTTAGCTTGACTCATTTACACCCCTACAAGATGACATGATAGATTGAGATCTCTATCCAACGTATTAAAACACTTGGCTCCCAATTTAAAAAATTGTCGATGCATCAATGCGACATAAAGTCTCTCCACATAGTTTATAAAAGAAGATGACAATTTGGTAGTGAATCACTTTTCTCATTCATGTGTTGATCTGGAGAGATTGGAGATATGACTAGTGAAGTGATCAGAGGTTTTGGAATATAACGTTCATAAATAAGTGTCTGGTACTTTTTAATGGAGTGAGAAGTCTAAAAATTTGAGCTCCTCTTCTATAGATAATGGTGAGGTGTGAGAGAAAATTCCAAAAATGAAGAACTATTCGCCCTTACATTTTTAGAGGAAATTCCAAAAATAAAACTCTAAATTAAAGTAATTTTAGTTCTATCTATTGGTGTATATAATTGAGATGAAACTTGTATATTTAATATTTTATAACTGTAATTCATTGATAATAATTCTATGAGTTATTTTTTGACAAATTTGACATCTAATTCACTATGAAATCTCAATGATATATATTTGAAGTACATAAATGATGAAAGTTTACTGAAGATTCCCCAAATTATGGTTAATTCTATGCTTAAGAATGTATCCAAAATATTTTTGAAATTTTCATAAAATATGGTATTATCCTAATCTTAAATTATAATAATAGATTAAGACTTTATTTGTGACATCATTCTTACTTCTTTGTGATGCATATTTATAGTCCAAAATTTTTCAGTTTAAGAAATTTTTATGCTGAAAAGCTACTTCATAATGTAGTAAGAAAGCCATTTTAAACAAAGTCTAAGTTATCAAATGTCATTGTTAGAAATTAATGCATGTTTGTGACTCTTAGTGATGGAAGGCTTCATTATTCTTAGGTACCAAGTTTATCATAGGTAATAGTTAGGTGGATTTTGTATAGATGTGGTGGTAACTCATCAGGTAACTGATCATTGTAACACAAAGAAGAAAAGTAGAAAACCAATGAGTTTTTTACATGATTTAAATAGTTCTTTAGAATTATAGAAAAAATATGATTGAAAATCACTTTTACAACCAATTTGCAAAAATATTGCAATCATCGCCTGTCATAATGTTACCAGAGCCAGAAAGTTGTAAAAAGTAGAAGATTTCATGGATTTCCTGCCTCAGAAGTTTAGGTTCATCTTAATTCCTTTGTGCTTATCTTGGTTTTAAAGTCTCTATTCCTATAAACTTTCTCTTTTAATAAGTGATACAAACTTCAGAAAATTGATATGTGTTGACATTCTTCTTTATTTGACTTGAGCGATTTTAGATGATGTTCTGATCCTGAAATGTTTTTTTTTTTTTTGTTAAAACCCACTCATGGGGCCTACGCATTAATATTCAAAAAAAGCGGTTACAAGGTCCTTAGAAGGAACCTCCAGCTCACTACTGCTCGAAACAGCTACAAGTAAAAAAGTAAAATCAAAACCTATGAGCCGGTGGTTCCTTTTTCTACAATTACAAAAATAATGCAATATTAAACTAGGTCTGTGAGTCAACAGAACCCAAAAAAGGAAGCTCGTGATGATGACATTCTGCTCAGTCTTCCTGCAAAAAAACCAGTAACAACAACCAAAATTTGCTAAAAACCAAAATAAAAATACCTTGTAGACAGAGCAGATTTTACCACGAAAAGTGTATAACTTCCTGCAGGTAGATATCACAAAAATAGTATAATAATCATAGAAACTAGCATCAATAAAAACCAAAAAACGAAGATGAGTCCAGTGATACCAACTCTGCCAGAGGTTAGCAGCAGCATAGCAGAAAACCACAGCCCCAAAATTAGAATGACCAACAAAAATCATCTTGTCAATTCCACCATTCCAATGCTTATAACCCGAGAGAACAAACAAATCGAAGACGTTTAAAATAAAATTCCCATCTTGAAAGAAACAACAGCAGGTAAAATCACTACAGAATTTTCCCAAACAACACTTAATAGTCCCCCAGCAGAAAGAGGGAAAACAAAAACCAGAAAAAGCACCCCTGTCTAGTAACTCAGAGCAGAAAACAAAATTATCCAAAACAAACACCACAACAAGGTCAAAACCAGCAGCAGTAGGATAACACCCAGCCATGTTAAAGACCACAGTAAAAAGCCCAATCAGCAACCATAACCAATAATCTTTAACAGCAGTAATAGACATCCCAAAAAGCCTCAGAAACCAACAGGCTCTAGAAATCCCCCAAAACGACACCAGATACTGCCCACCAACCATCAAAATATCAGCAACAGTAGCACACAAACCAAAGTCATTAAAGACCATCCAGAAATATAACATAATCCACAAAAAGAGCATGTAACCCCAGTTAATGTTCAGGTAAATAGCAATAACACTAACACTAACACGAAAACAGAGACCAGCCATCACAGACAACCAGAAATAACTCCATAACTAGCAGCCACCAGCAATCAACCAAAAAACCAAAGCCATCCGCCACATAAACAAAACACAACACCCCAAGAACACAAACAACAACAGCAGAGACAGCATCAGCAAAAACATCATCAAAATAATGAAGAACACAGGAATTACCCATACCTAACGTGGGGCAGAGAAGATTTATCAATCATCAACAAACCTTTAAAAGTAGTATCTAAATTCAGAGTATCCACTTCCTCATAATCATTAAGATAAGCTCCCTTCTTAGCTAACCAGTCAGCACATCCGTTTCCTTCTCTAAATATATGAGAGATTTCAAACTTCATAGCATTCAAAAGCAGTTTAATTTTTCTAATAATATAAAAATGTTGAGCATTTCCAGAAAATCCATCTCTAATAATTTGAACAAGGCACAAAGAATCAACTTCAATCCACACCCAATTACGCCCAATTTTAATACACAGCTCCAAGCCAAATAACAAAGCATATAACTCAGCCACCAGCACATCCAATTGCTGTAAAGGAGCAGAAAAAGCAGCTAATATGTCCTCACTGCAATCCCGAATGAGGCCACCCACACCAGCCTTCGCCAAACCCACCATACCATCACTATTTAATTTCACAAAAGGAGGTATAGGCTTCCTCCACACAATAAAAGAATCCTCAATAGCACTGTTCACCCAGTCCACATTAATACCACAAATTCTAGCTAAGTGCTTACATCTAGAGAAGGTCTTACAAGTAATAATCTTATAATTATACAACTGTAACACCTTTCTTTTTACATTATTAATAACTAAAGATGCCTCCATCTTAATATTTTCATGTTTAGCCTCGTTACACGCTTTCCATAGATACCATAAAATGAGGATCGACAACAGGTTAAAAAAATGACCTTTAGTGGAATGTAACCAGCCATCCAACATATCAGGTAAAGTATAAAGA